CATCGTCGAGCCATATACAATTTATTTTATTTATTTATTTATTTAAGTGGTCTATGACCCTCTTCCCGTAAAATCTAGCCATGGGAGACAACAGGTCCCCTGGGTATAAGCTCACAGCTCTATTGGCGTAAGTCACAAGCGCCACGCATTGTCTCTGACGATGGGAGGGCACCTTCCGGTGCTCAATAGTTTATTACCGCCCACCTTAACCCGGGCAACCCCTGGTTAAACTGATGCAAACCCGCGGCTGGCCGTAGTCGCAGGTGCGTATCCTACTACGGTCGCAAAACACGTATGAATAATACTAAATCTTCAAAAGCTGTGTATGACGGACCTCAAGCAGATCCCAATGAATTTCTGTGATCACACTCCCGAGCTTGATCTGCTCCCCACTGCCTTGTGGGTCAGGCTGTTGAGCCAAATGCTCCGGGCGGAGTCCCTCAAGTAAACCCCCGAAGCACAATTACCACCACACGTACGATTGCTCACCAATGCTTTCGCGCAAACCAGTCAACATCGGGTATTGGACCGTGCGCACATACTGGACCGGAACTCGAGTGTGCGTCCCGAGAGACGCACTGCACTGGTCGCGATGGAACTGGCGCGCTACCACATCGATATTGCGGCGCTTTGTGAGACCTGGCTCGCTGAGCAAGGTAAGTTACATTAAGCTGATACCGGCTACACATGCTACTGAGTGGGCAACGCCGCCTCAGCACCCCGTAAACATGGAGTCGGATTTGCAATATCCGATCGCCTATATGGCCAGCTGGTGGGTGAACCAACAGGCATCAGCGCGCGACTGACGACTGCTCGCCTACAAATCGGAAGAGGTAAGTTTGCCACTTTTGTAAGCATGTACGGTCCGACCATGTGTTACTGTGTGCCACTCACGGTCTGACGATCACGAACACTCGGTTTGCACTGAGTGCGAGTGATATAGAAACTTGGACGCACCCACGGAGTGGTCACTCTCACCTGATCGACTATGTCATCGTACGTCAGCGTGATATGCGTGAAGTGCGCATGACACGTGTACTGCGTGGAGCTGAGTGTGGCACTGACCATAAATTGGTGCCGACTAAATTATGCCTATATTTTCGTAATTCTATACATTGCACTCGTGCCGTGAACCGGCAGAAATGTAGTCTTTTCCCCTAGGAACTGTAGAAATGTGGTTGGAGCTGAAGAAGACGATAGCTGAACCATATCACAGAACTTGGTCCTTCAGGGACAAATGGTTTACTCGACAAAGCAAGCTCAGAAAAGTTGACAGCATAACCAGCATGTAGAAACCTCGATGTAAATAACTACGTCAATTCTATAACTAACGGCACTTCTGCATTCATGCAATTCTTTCTTTGAATCATTTAAACAAACCTACTCCAGCGTAGACATATAGGAACCTATCAGCGAGTAGGCGAAATATGGGTAGGCGCCCGATCAACTGCTCTGTTCGCTTGCGGCCACCTAGCTGCTTGCTTTGTCATTTAATTCCCTGTCCTTTTTCTGCTTGCACAATCCCGTCACACACTGGTAGTACGCGTGGCAGCAGTGGCAGCGCCATCTTACATTTTAAGTTTTGTTTCCGACTGCTGGATCTCAGCAACGTCAACATGACTGGCTGGTATGGCATTAATAGTTGCTCCAGTGTTTAGTTGGCACCACCTTCTGCCACCTATGATAATTTCAACGAATACCCCTTTCGCTGTCCGTTATCTCCGCTGCCTTTTGGAACCTTGCCTTCTCCCAGTATACTGATCACACGGGACCTACACTGTTTTGTGAAATGACTTTTCTTTCTACATTTCATGCAATATTTTCCTAATGCTGCGTGTTTTTTCTTCCTCTGAACATGTGTACCTTCACAGTGTTGACTTGAAAATAAACTGCTTGTTTCATTTTCATGCGCAATCTTTCTAACTTCCGAAACAGACCTGGCGCTAAATGTAGCCATTCTTCGCTCCGCCACCTGCTTGAAGTTGCACCTATCAACACTTTGGGCCTTAGTCAAGTCGGAAATTCTAATCAGTCTCTTCCTCAGCGCTATATTACGGATTCCCAAGACCAATCGGTCTCGAATCATGCTATCAGTTATTCATTTGCCAAAATTAATTGATTTGGTTATTTGCTTCAACGTGGTCACATACTGGTTGACAGATTCTCCCGGCACTCGTTTCTTCTGATGAAACTGGTAATGCTCAAATGTTTCATTCGCTTGCCAGGTACAATATTCTTCAAATTTTTTCAGCATTGTGGCTAGCTCTTCTTTCTCTTCATCATCTGAAATGGGAATGCTGGCTGGGTTACGCCTTCCACTGTCTCTACCAGTGTAGCGAAACATGACCAACTTGGATGTGCTTGTCAAACTCACCAACAGGCAGGAATCACCGTACTTTTGTCCACAGAATCGGCAGTTATCCGCTAACAGTCTACTGTTGCTCACATCCAATGGTCCTAGAGACGAAATAGTCTGTGGGCTTAGTGTCAGTGCGGACGCACGATTCATGGGTTTCTCCTCTTCTGACACCACATTGCGTGCCTGGGTCTCCCAGCCCCGTCAAAATTATGAAGACGCACCGGATTAACATACTAGCGCTCTATTCTCGATTCTGCGGTTCCGGTCCAATCAGATGTGTTCCCAAAGCTCGTCCGCTCACTCGATCGATCGCCTGATGGTACACACAGGCAGACACACGAGTTGGCCGTGATAGCTTGATGCTGTCTGATCAGCGATTGCGAAGGCGCATGGGGAACTGATGTTGCTCGCTCTACCCTCCCAACAATTCCGGCACTTTGCTGAAAACTTACGCATGTCCATGATAATAGAGATAAGATATCCCACATGAGACATGTACTATCTGCTCAACATTTTAATATCTATTCCCCGGTCCTCTGTGATCAGTTCATGGAGAGCCCGCTGGTTGCTGGGTCAGTTGTGGTTTGGAGGCGGCCACTACAAGGCTCATCTTGAGCGGTGAAATGACTAATTTTGAAATGATATATCTAGATTTTGACGGTGCTATAGGAAGGGCACTTTTCCTCCAGTGTTTTTAACATCTCATTGTGAATTTCCTCATACTTTTTCTCGAGAAACAAGTTGTCTTGATAACCCGCAACTTCAACAACTTGATACTTGCTTTTGCCTATGCTATCACAGCTTTTACTTAGAAAGCCAATCTATTAGAATCACAAACGTCTGGTGTTTGCAGTTAGATACTAGGATCTTAATGTCTCATATGCGTTTACACGCTTTTTTCCCACTTGTATGGAAGGGAACACAGCCGGGAACTTTTCACCACTTTTTCGTACTGCGCATCGATCACTGTTCGGTGGGTATGGAAGCCACTGCACAACTTCTGCTACGGTTTCTAAGCCCCACTCACATCCGGTGATTCAGTGTGCTTAGTGTTATTTATTAAGCCTGCTTTGCTTATCGTACCCCGAATTGCTTACTCTATCGGCTGTCGTTACCCTGCATAAGCATTGCTTATTCACGGAGCTATTTGCCAATCATTCACGTCTTATGCTACTTAGGTCAGTTTCACTTTCCTCTCCGGTTCCTGTGCTATTTTATCTAGAACTCACTTGTTTTGTTGAATCTCTAAAATCTCACACGATTTTGTATTTTAGAAGTTGAAAACCGTGGACGTCCGAATCGCCTTATACAAGCAACAAATTGTCTTCCAGTTACAATCACTGTGTTCCATTTTTATTCTCGGCACCTTTTCTACGAACTATTTTTCGATCAGTTTGTGATCCAGGAAGTGCTATCTGAACAGGTTCCATTGCCTTCATCATTGGTTTCACTGGTCCGCTCATGCATTCGCCGCAGCATTACAGGAGCAGTTGCTCACAGTTCACCCCATTGCATCTCATCAACTGTGGCCGAATTGCACACTGTCAGATTGATTTGGCCGGGTCAGGTTTTGGACACCTAAGTAACTAACTCATCGTGCTGTCTAACCCTCATTGCGAACAGAAGTGGTCCGACCACATAAGAGATCGTTTATACAATTAACACCAGTGTTTTCGCAGTGTGGATATTCGCTGTCCTACTGTAGTCGAACTCGCCACCATGTTGTGCACTAGCTTGTATATAGGATGGAATAGTGGTACCTACTATGTTGGTTTTCACCCAGTGACGTCGTCCCCTTAGGGCCCATAAAATTATATCGCTTTTGTTTTTCCTACTTATGGTGTTCTTTTTCTCACCTCTCACAATCTCGAGCTCAGAACAACTGGGAGGGCATTCTCCATGGAAATCATATCTGCTGTAGCAATTCCAGTCCGAGCAGTACCGGTTGGCGAATGATTCCAGCTCATATTTCATGGGGCACCTGACGTACCGTTTCAGCTGAAGCTTGATCGAATCATTCTTCAGCTCGTAAATTATGTCCATGGTTAAATCAAAATCCAGTTTGCGAAGAGGCTCTCTCTTTTCGATCACGGAAATGAGTCGTCATTATTATTGATTGATTTTACCAGTATTGTTCAAATTACCCGTATTAATCTTATTTCTGATTTCACTAGCATCTGAGTGCCTTTACACTTCCTTATAAATGTAATGCCTGGCGAGAGTTATGGAAAAAGATCGCCTCTTCGCAAACTGGATTTCGAATCATCTTTCAATTATCTTTCTTCTTAGCTCCGACAGTTCTCTCAATGTAAAATCACAGGCTCCACTGTGCAATTGGACCGCACTTGCTCAATTGTCTTTTGGGCCTTGTTTCCTTTCCTCTGCTTGTTTCGGGTTTGTTTTCAAGCGTTGTGCAAATCTGTTTGGTCAGGAATGAGACTGAAGTTTCATGCATATATTCATTGTTTTCACCATATAGTGCTGTTGCATGAATTCATCACTCCACTCCTAAATTTCATTATAACTTCTCCATTATTTCGAAGCTAAAAAGGAATTCGATGAACCCCTATCTGTCTTACCTTTAAATCTTTCAACGTAGTGGGTTTTTATTTTATTTTTCTATTTCCGTGTTTTTCGCTAGCCATGAAACAGTGCTCGTCGAAAAAGAATCCCTTGTCCACACGACCACTCGGCAGTATACGGCCCGCTGATGGTATGCTGTTTTCTCATAGTCTCGCACATTTTTTTACATTTAGTGAAATTCCCAGTGATTTTTGAATTTGTCAGTTATTATGGCGAACTTGCTCATTTTCACTTGCTATGTCTTTGTACCTACCGTTTCGGTCCCCTTTGATTGGCCACGCTCCTCTGCTCAGGCATTGCTGCGACGATCGATCGATCCGGTGATAACATTCCTTGACTTTGATTAGACCACTTGCTTCATGCTTGGGTTGTGCAACGATGTCAATGCTCGTTATTCGGTGTGTTTGTGACTCGCGGCTACAATGGTGATTGTGGTATTATCACAGAGTTCAGGCATTTTGTCGCTCCGCATGCGAGGACGACACGTGCTCTTCAATTGGACCAACGTGTGATCCACGACGTTCCTTTGAGCCGATGCGTCTGCACCATTAAAGATGCACATCATTTGATCATAACTGTGGTTTAACCACATTTTGGGGGTTATGTCTCTTACTTTTCTAGAGTTATTGCGATTCCGTTTGCGTGCTTCCTTTGCGATACGAAGTAGCCTATCATCCCACTCTCACTCCACTTTTCTTTCCTTGCGTCCACCATCTTCACGACGGATTCCGGATGCGTCACACACAATTGTCAACTATTTCGACCGCCAGACACGTGAGTTTTCCGTACCCCCGTACTCTTGCCTCACCGTTTTTGGCTCACCTGTATATACCTCCTGGGAGTTGGTGTTTTGACTGTGCATTTGCGACTTCATCTGTCTTTAAGTGCCTAGCGCTGTACGTCCACCGTACTGTATTTTATTCAACCTTCTTCATAGAAGCCTATCTCTAGCACTGTGATCAGACGGCATCTAGTTATCCTGACCTAATTTGTCAGTTCAACGAAGATTTATAGGAATGAAATGGTCTCAGTTTGTTAAAGGAAATTAACAATCAGGTAAGGCAGGATGTACAACCGGATCATAGAATAGCCGAGTATTCACTTTATAACACATAACTGAATGCAAATCGCCTATCAGCTATACCATGCAAGACAGGAGCTGTAACCACAAACTACATGCTAAGCTGCTATACATCGGCGCGGCCGGTCATCCACTTCGTGTTTCCTCACCGTGGCGTCAGTTCCTCATTCTGAATCACTCAGCCTGGTGTGATGTGTACAAACGACGACAAACGTGTTTCAGTTGGAGCTCTACTAGTGGTGATGATTGTGAAATGAGAGATGATCCGATTTGTATGTTTCTATTCACTACACACTCGAATTGCTTATACGTCATTGAACTACTTTATGGTAACGGAGTAACCTAAATCTACATGAGTGCTTACTTTTGTGGTCTATATGATCAAGCCATGTTGTCCTATGTAAACTACAAACCTTTATGCGCTTTTATTTTAAAGAAACCTTGTTACTCCCTTTCATCTGTTCTGACCCAGATATAGACCTGATCAAATGGTTTTATCAATTCCGTGCTAAGTAGCTCTGTCCGTTGGTTTGTTATACTTGCATCCTTTGTGAGAGCGCACCATACCTCTCATTCTTAAGCTTCCTGGAGTGGAGTTTTAGGGTCATTTTATGCTCGTACTCGTAAACTCACTGTAAAGTAAGCCTCTGGCAGTAATGTTCTATGCATTTGGTCTCCTAGACTTCTAGTGGTCCGAAGCAATAACGCCTAATATACTGGAACTACTACTACAAAGTACATTTGCCTAATGAGCATTCTCGGCTGGACAATGTTCCATTGACCCTTCCGTCGTTCTGCCTCACCTTACTGCTGCCTTACTCATCGCTCTCCCTGTGTGCTCTTACAGTGCTAAGCATTTACCAGATCTTCTCAAAGGCGATATGGGTCACAAATTCCTCTTCCATAGTCCTCGCACACCCCATGTCTAATATCCACTTTCTGTAAACTGCTCTTAATTGCTCGGACTCATTATTTTCACAGATACTGTTTTCCTTTCATGTGTTCATTTTATCCATTGGCTTAGATGATCTTGTTCTCGCTTTTGTCATACGATATTTTATTTGCCAAAGTGCGCGTATTTCCTGATACAGCACTGTGCAATCATTCTTGCCATAGAATGCCTTGTCATATCAGTACTGCAACATTACAAAAGCTTGCGCACTGAACTTTCCTATATGATGCCCTTCGTGAACGTAATGGTTGCTCAATTGCTGAAAGCTCAGTTGTTCAAAGACAGCCAGTCTATTCAGCAAAGTCAAGCAAGCGAAAAGACAGCGCTTTCGAATCACAGAACTCTGGTTAACTCTGGTTAACTATCTTTAGAACCTAATGAATGGTCTGTTACCCAATTCACGATACAACTATGAAGTTAACGGTTTCCAATCAATTTATGTGTTTTGCAATTTGCCATTGTTTATGGAAAATGTCATATGTTGTCGCTGAATTTATCAGAAATCGGAAGCCATGCACCATTGATGTTTGACCGCCCGAATGTCACTTGTAATTGATCGTTGCGTCAGGCGCATCAGCAAGTACGCTGAAGAAATATGTCCTAACTGATCAGAATACAGCAAAATTGCTTATGCTTAGCGTCTGGCGAATCTTGTTTGGTTGTGTTCGCAGTTTCTATTTGGACCGATTCCACGCAGTACTTCGATCACATTTTTACGTCAGAGCATTGAAATGGGAAATTTTTCGTAATACTTCTACGCATGAATTGCATGGCAACCTCGTCTACTAGTGGAATCCCGTCGGTAGTGTTCTTAGTCCTGCTCCCCCCCCCCACCTTTCATCTAGTGTAATTCCTAAGCCGGCAGGCCATGGCCGAATACTGTTACGTCCACTGACAAGCCTGCGACACTAATTCACATTATTACTACTCTAAAATTTCTGTTTTACTCCTTGAATCGAAATTCGCTTGTCATTTGTTTGGCCAGATGAAGGTCGCTGTCATTTTCCACTTATCACATATTAAGCTTACTGTCTTCTCCTTTCCCAAACACACAGATGATTGACGTCTAACTTGTCACGATATTTGACTAAACTTTAACAACAGATGTTACGGATTCGGTGTTTATGATTATCCCCAATGGGGTACGAACTGCGCAAGGCGTACTAAGCTTTACGGATACTCGGCTAAATTGGCTGTTTAAGCTTGATTCCAGGTGCACGGAGATTAACCACTCTGTTTTGCGGCTGTGCGCTAACATCTGAAGTCGTTAAGCACAAGTAGTTATACAGATAACCGATTTCACCTGCTGTCTAACAGAGACTATCGATTGGACCAAATAGTGCTTATCACCATGGACTTCGGGCGCTTCTGTTCCATCTTTGAGAGCCGTTCGTTTTTCAATACGTACCTGGTCTCCGAATGCGCCCTAACTCCTAGTCGATTTTATTTGCTTATTTTTACCGTGGCCGCGGTGTTCCTAAATCCCGCGACTTTCTAAATATACCAGAATGGACCGCATGCCAGTTCTCCGTCGTCATGCTCCGAGGACAACCATTTTCATCGGGATAGTAGTGTAGTCACTTCCGTTTCCACTGCGCGTAATCAGAGAACGCTGTTTAGCAGCGACGTCTCACATTGGTTACTTTCCATTTTCTGCGTCTTTCATGGTCTGTCTATGTTCATTTGACTGTAGGTTCTGCTCCAGCCGGTGGCCAAGTGGTCTGTGCGCCTGGTTGGCAACCATAAGCTCACCGGTTCGAATTCGCGTAGGGGCAGGTATCCTCATGGTATATTCAGCCCACGCGCGATTGGTGGTGGTCGCGCGGCAGCGAAGCGCTTTTGCGGCGTACAGCTAATACATTAATCTTACTATTACGTTCTCCTCCGTCTGCATTATCCTCCTCATGTTATGCTTGGTCTCGTCAGCTCACCTTTGTCTCTTTGGCATACGCACACACTTCGTCCGCTCGCAGCTGTTCCGGACAATTCGCCTTGCTATTGTTAGTGACTCATCTTTACTTTGTTCCTTCTAGGTTAAGGCGATCCTTATTCCTCTCTCTGTATCCTCCACTCGTGATCATTTTGTGTCAACGGCGACTGATTGGTCTGTTGCTTGCCTCCAGTCCGTTGATCAGCTTTTAAACTGCCAACTATTACCGCAACCTTGGAATGCATCCCCATGCTCACCCGTTGCTTCTTTTGTGCGGATAACTATTCTATAGTCATCATCCTTAGGGGCTATCATCCACACGAGCTATTAATCATGGCTGATGTTCTGAGCTGCTTCCCACTGCTTGATGACGCAAGTGTGAAATCCGGGTCACTCGAATTTATCAGCATGACTTAACGCATAACGGTCGCTCTCACAATGTTTTGTTGCGTCACCTGAGGAAGCATGATCCCATTTTCCCCTGTGTTAGATTAGTTGTTGTATGCTTGGATTGCAACACAAAAAATGTTTACACTCTCACATCTGCCGTAACTACGATCTGCCTGCATGGTGGCTGTGTTCGGTGGTTTGCCTACAGTTCCAGCCCAAGATGGAAACGCCATTACTTCCCCACACTACATGATAACTACGCAACTGATCATTAATTTCAATTATCTCAGTGGTTATGTTCCTTCTGGTCTGCAACTCACTATGGTGAGTTTTTGCTCACCTTGCTAATGTTCGCGCACCGTTTCAGATCCTAAATAATCCACGACGACGAATTTTTGCCATTTAAGCGCGTGGTGTGTTAGGCTACAGTTCCACGGACCTTGCTTTATGAATTACAGATATGATCAACATTTGTCGAGAATACTGAGTGACTGACTGTGTTAGCCTCCATTAGCCTAGGGAAATCGCTCACGTATGTTAGGAAATCCGAGCCTTCACCACTATGATCCGATTCCTTTTGTTTAATAGATTCTCGTTTGGTCTTATATACTACTCCGTCGGACCTTGACTGTCTACATTTACTGGGTCACCCTTATTATTTGTCAGACACATATCTCAGCATATTTTGCTAGTTGGCGTCTGGCTCTAGCGGTCAAGAGCGATCCCCAGTAGGGCACCGAGGGAATGCGCACTACTGACGAGCCCCAATAGGGCGAAACGCGTCTGGTGCTTTTTCGGAATGGGCTGGGCTATGTAGCTTGTGAGCTACTGCGACGAACACATTACAATTACAATTAAAAGCCTCCTACTTATTAGTACTATAAAATGTAGCCTCTCGTAGTTTCAGCTGCTCTGCACGTAACGTCTAGTGAGAGGAAGTCATGACCTTCGGAGGCTACCCACTGTCATCTGCTTAGTAATCTGCGTAGCAATGGAAGATGGGTCGTGCTATATCCCGGTTAGCTTGCAACTTATGTATCCCGGCCGACATCCCCCATGGCTCAGTGACTTAAGCTGCTGGCTAGTTGGCATTTGCCTCCAGTGGTCATGGGTTCGATTCTCATTAGAGGACCGAATGCGCACCGATAGGACGAAACGCGTCTGGTGCTTTTCCGGATTAGGCTGTGCTATGTAGCTTGTGAGCTACTGGGACGAAAATCTTATAACACATGGATTTTGCCGTTACCTCGTCCTATTCCGCCGGCCTTTTTTTCTCTTCGCCACTTGTTGTATTCCGGTTTCAGTGTCGTGTAGGTCTCTGCGACATACTTTTTCAGTTCATCGTACTCTCTTAATAAGTACTAGTTAAGTACCCTATATCCTCAGCTTCACCCGCGGACCGATAGACAGATATGGAGTATGCAGACCCCGTTGCTCTGTTTTTTTTTCGGGGGCTGCTCTGTCAGGTGTTTTGGTGTAGAGCAATACATATTTCATCAGCTATGGTTTAGTGCTTTGTTTCTCTGTATGGAGAGCATGACTGAAATGATGCCCAATTTTTACCGCAGCCGCATCGTTTCACGATGGCCAGTTACCAATCTGTCATTAAGCAAAGCCCTCCAACACTCCCGAGCAAAACCAATAACATTAACGGCTCAATCTGAGATAGAAGGTAACGCGTAAAACAGGTTCTGCAGTGAACTAATTTGAAACACAGTAATGCCATCGAGAGTTTGCACTTATCTTCTTCGCATTTAGTATCTGTGAATAGCAAATTACATGCAGTCTCATATAGGCCGATGCGGAAATATTGATTTCTTTTGAAACACGGGAAAGGTTTTCCACCGAAAAATGCGCACTAACATTCACCTAATATACCGGCAAACTCAGATAGGACAAAATTAAGCAAGTTGTAAACCGTTGCATCACAAACCAGTACCTGGACAACCAATTGAACCTTATGAGGACTCGCCTAGTTCATTGCGCCTAGGAAATTCGAGGATCCTCCTACACCGCAGCAACAAGCACGTTAACAATTGAAACCCGACCGTCTGCTTGACTGTTCCAATAGATAACCAACCAAGATGAACTACAGTCGGTATTTACTAGGACCAGCGTCTCTTGCTTCAATCTTGCGTTGTCCTGGAGTTTGGTGATGAAACATCTTCCACATGAAGTGGACACATGAACAACTGACGTCTCACATTTAACCCTAATTGCATACCCTCATGTTTTTTCTCATGAATTTACCAGTTTGCGATTTTGTTCTCTTTTGTCACTGAACATTACTGTCCCACATCCTTTTTTATCGCCAGTTGGATAATCGTCCAACTCTTATGGTTTCGACTGCGTCACATTAGTCTTCCTGGCATCATTCTCGTCAGTTTCTTACAAGATCCTCGTGTGATCTCCATGTGGTATTATGCGTAGGTCACTATTACATATACAAACTAGTGGGTATGTACGCATTTTCTCTTTAATATATTACAGAAGCATCCTCAAATCATCAAGTTGTCAGATCAGCTGCTTTTCTGGATTCCCTTCGTTCACGATTTCAACGATTACTATTGCTTGTTTTTGTTCTTCTGCCATGCAGCGAAACCGTCTTACACAAACACAACACCATGCATGTGTTTGTTTGCTTGTAGACCCACTCTACTTGCCTCACGACTAGTCTCTACCATTCCTCATGGGTTGTGAATTGATTTAACTATTTAGGTGACTGTTTTCCGTCACCACCGCTGCCAACGAGGGTGGTAAGACTGCTGAACAAACGAAGGATCGATCAACACCACAGTTCGCAATTCAGGATTTTGAAATAGACCCATTCAGGAGTCAACACTGCACACGTGTGGAATTCGTCGTCTCGTGACCATGCTCCCAACCGCCTTCCACAGTATGCATTGCTCTCGAGTACTACCACAGTTTGGAGGAATTTACAGGGCAGCCGGTTGCTGATGTGACCTAACGGCACAGACCAATGGTCTCACTGAACGATCAGATCGCATCGAATTTTTTTATTAATAATTGTTATACCCGACTGACATGATGTCTTACAGATGACCACTACCTCTCTTATTTACTTTCTTCTTCATTTAATTGTTTGTCCAACTGTCTGTGCATTTTTATCTTTATAACGTTCTGGGGTTTTGCATCCCATTGTTTCGTTCTTTGACTTGCTAACCGTTTTTGTATGGCTGAAATAAGGATGAGCGATTTGCACCGCTCATTTTTCTATTGTGTAGACTCTGCCTTCCTTGTGGCCGAGGGGTTCGAGCCTCTTACTTGTAATCTTGGCGTCCCTACCTCCACCTCCACGTCCACCTACATAGATGTGAGCGACGTCGTATCCCTAACCCATACTCGATTAGTGGTGGTCGCGCGGCATGGAAGCGACAGTTCGAGGAGTTGGCATATGTTGATACCTTTGTTTGTTCATTGTGTTTAGGATTAGAATGTTTCTACTCCGGTTAATTGATCACAATTTTGGTTTATCATCTGTTCGACCCGTTGCTACACGCACGTGGAACAACGGTGGAATACTAGCGACGAATGTTTACTTGACGGCTGGTTATACTTCCGTTACATGTCCCTGTGTACAGTCTTGGTAGTGGCTGGATCTCGGTTAGAACCCACGACTCCTGTGACCTGATTTTCCTACGCACTTGTAAACTCATGAAATTAAACAACTTTGTTGATGATTTCTCTTCGTTGCAGACAAACGCTTCCTCGTGTGCATACCCGTCCAGGTTAGTCGTCTCTAATACGTGTGTTCCTCTTTTCACGTATGCGCACTTAATGCTCACTCTAGTGCCCACTGATATATAAGCACTTATTCGTGTATTTGAGCAGATTCCACCTAAAATATTCCGCTAGTGCACTCCATGCATTCCTCCTGTGACCTTTGGTTATGTAGTGACATGCTAGCTTTGCCAATCAGCCCTGCATCCTAGGTGCAACATTCGCATATCTGACTTACATTCCTAAATACGGTGGACCACGCCGTTGCATCCTACTACTTCACGTGTTTTCTACCGTTCGTTTTGCATGTCTTCCCAAACCGGTTCGGTACATACTGAAATTCGTTTCATGACTGAATGTTTATTTGCTTAACTTCGCGGCCAGGCCGTATGCAGTGTTGATGATCACATTAATCGGCCTTCGCGCCTATGTAATTTTCTTGCCAGCTGTCTGGCATGTGACTCTAGATTCATCACCACCGACTACTGATTCCACATCCATTGGACTACTAATCCAATACCCTAATCACAGACTCACACATTCAAAACTTTCATGATGTCGCAATTAAGCTCATGTAGCTTTCACAGGATGGGGTCTTGTCATCTGGCTCCCCACCATAGCAGCTGGATTCGGTCGTCTTTTACTGCCCGTAGTGCTTTTATTCCACCACATTCAGTTCAACATTTTGACTTGACTTCATTCTCGTTCGCTCCCCAATGGGCGTGCGAGTCCATGCATCGATACGCGGCTTATCGCTCATACAACCGGCTTCTCTCTTTCCTCTTCTCTTCCCCCGTTACTAATACGTGGCGTTGTTTTTGCTGCTTACCTCCTGGTTGTTTAATCCGCCGTTTCTGTGTGGCATGTTCTAACGTGCACGTTGGATACTGAAACTATGCACACGCAAAACCTTTGTATACTTCATCCTCGTTTTCCTTGTTCGATGGTTTTATTCATCTGCTCCTCACTCCCATGGTGAACCGTTTTACGTGTGCTGAAGCCTTGTCATCTTTATCATTGACCAGAACCAGTGATATCAGGTCGTTTGAGCCGCTCAAACACGCTATTTCGTCATATTCGTTCCTCCTTCCGTCGGATACTGTGCGCACCGGGTCACTCACCCATTCACAGCCCCGTACGGAGGCTGAGACGACAGTCGTCAGACCACACCCGACTCTTAGTTCAGCTGAACGATTCTTTGTTCCGGTTGGAAGTCGAATGGGACAGGGTGACGAAAGGGCGACGGAACCAAGCGCAGCGTTCCGCATCGGCAGTGCAAGCCAGCTCACTGAGTGGGCCGACGTTTCACATGGACACTCCCCCATATCAGTTGAAGTGGATAGACGAAAATTCAACATCCGGCTCATCGAGGCACAGCGGCGAGCTCGATCGACCATGTATTTAAACCAGAATCAGCCAGGGAGACTGTTACCAAGGCATGTGTTGAATCAAATGGCACCGGATTTCAGCCTATCATCGAGCCCGCTCCACACAGTCAGTAGTACAACCTCGGAAAGCGATATGGATCGTTACTCCACTTTGCCTAAATCATGGACGTTAGACTTTACTGGGCGCAAAGCAAATGGTGCTTCGTCGGTCGCATCAAACGTTCCAAAGGTTGTTAACATCGACAAAACTTATCCAATTCGAAATTCCGAAACTCCTGCCTCCTCCCCATTTTCACTTTCTGTTTCCGACACCGGTGACTCGAAACCGATGAGTTATCAGAAAGATTTGAACCAAACTCAAATATTCCGTCGTTACAGATTGCCTGGTCGCTTACCTGAGCTCCAAAACAATATGCCGTCGACAAAATCGTCACCTGTTTTGACGCGTGTTCGCCATGAGGCCGATTCAGCCTCGTCAACAATGGCCTCTCCTTCCAGAAACTCGAAAATTTCAGAAGCCGTTTCATTAGAATACTTTATGCACGATGCCGTTTTTAGTTTTTTGGACAAAGCTTATGATCCCTATGGCTTAGCCCGTAAAAATCTTGCCGGATCACTAAGTCACTCCTCATCCTACGCGCGCGTGAACACTTTGTCGACGTGCTCTCCGCTCTCCTCTGGGCAATTCTCCGCCTCCTCAGCCCGATTTGGGTCTTCTCCCCGTATCTCTGATCAACGACGTCGATTTCGTCAAACGCTCGTCCGCCCTTTTTTGCCGCCTAGTTAAACAAGTGGATCACTCGGCGCCCCGATCATTGACTCCTTTTCTCTTCGTTTTGGAGGTCCGACCAATCTATGGTCTTTCATATTTGGGGTCATGTTCAGTACGACTGGGTGAGCGAGCAGTACGCACCCATTTTTGTTCGCTCATCCATGTTGGTGTGTATTCTAGTATTTATAGCACCGTATTCCCGTTTCCCCTGCTTGCATCATTAATCCCAGACAGCTTAACTTGACCCATCGCGTAGCCTGCCGCAACCGGTGACCACTTTAGTTATCCAACTCAACTTTGCACAAGTTCCCCTATCAAACTTGGTTTTTAGACCATTCAGTTGGTGGTTGCCACTCTACTGAGGGTTATCTTACCTTAGATTCTAACTTTGGGCTAACGGCAGCGCAAATACTCTCATAACGGCGTTGGTTTCGAGGTCTGGTCCTACGCATCGAACTACGATCCACTCCCTGGTCTGTGTGCATCTTTGTCTCTCACATTTGGATGTTACATTCTAACATCTTGATCCAACTTTAAGTTACTGTCATTTCTTTGGTTGCCCAGTCGTCGCGTGTACCTTTGACTGTTTACATTCCCCAGCTTTAGTGTATGGCTTGCATTCTCGAATGTCCTAATGGACATTTCATGCGTGATACGTCCCATGTAATTACTGTTCCTCAAACCACTTGATCTCTTTTTTTAGTCCACCTTGGTTTCTTAGGAGCATAATCAGGCCCACAACTTACGCTGTGTGACCTTATGAATGGGTGTACGTGCGTAGGAGCTGAATCGTCCAACCTGCACCCCCATGACTTAGTGTGTCTGAGGTCTAATCGGCTGAAAGCGACGGGCTATACACGCACACCTGCACACTGCACAAGTGTCTGGCGTACACTCGGAACAAATTAATTGAGTAGACTCGTGTTGAATGACCCTCAGATTATTTCTGTTGCCCAAGAGGGCAACTTGGCCGGGAAATGGTATAGAGTCGATTGAACACTAATGTCGGAGCATAGGTCAGGTAAAGTAGCGAGCGATTTTCTACAAATTAGAAGGGGCCAAACGGGCGATTAGTGTTATCGACGTATCGATACTGAGTGGTGGTGCGAAGTTGTCATGCAGGAATGACTTGGAATGGAGGATTGCAACACATAAGAATCCACTGACATCTGTTCATGTTTGATCAGGAATCACACACGAAACGGTCATAAGGTGTCTTGAATTGGGATAACATCAAACGTTTCGAAGTGCACAAAAACATTGAGTTTGGAGTCACAGAACCAAGGCAGGTAGAGCAGATTGGATACGAGTGATTATTAGGTGCTGGGTTAATCGCATACATCAACAGTGGTTTTTGACGAAAAGCCATAGCAAGTGAGGGAATTAATTCCATAGTTTTTACTATCGATAATAATGAGTTTCTCTACAAACGTTACGACAAACTCGCGTAAATATTCATATATATATATATATATATATATATATATATATATATATATATATATATATATATATATATATATATATATATATATATATATATATGATAGTATTTGCCACATATGTGTCCACTAGTTTTTTATGGTTGGATGCTGGTTTTATGCACCTCTATTACACACACCTTAGCCAGGTGTGGTGGTTTCAATTACCTTTTTTTGGCTAATCCCCACGTAGACCACTTCGTGTGTGTACTGTGACCCGTGTGAGTCCGTGCACTGGTTCAATACACTGATCTACTGATGCATCTTACGGTTATAACGAGGCATGTGCTGTGATTGGTTACTTCAGTTGAGCTGGCGTGTGATGTTCTTTCATACCCTATTGAATCGGCTGAGTGTACCTGATTTCGGTGTACGTGCTAATACATTAGCTAGCAGTACGATTCTGTAAATCTGATGAGTGGATCCGGGACACTCCTTCGTAACACTTCTGGGTTCAAAGAACGAGATATGACCCTATCACACGTGTTTCCATCATTAACTGACGTGTCGCTTAAGCATGAACTAGTCCCGAATAAATCACGGCTCCCATCTATATTCCGTTGGCACTAGCCTCTGCGTTTACACAATGTATCTGTGAGTGGTGTAACACAATTAATCCATAGTCGCACTGTAGGCAGAGGCGTTCTGTGACACCCACGTTGGTGGGTTAGTCTGGAAGCGGATGTTGCCAGTCACGTACTACTTTGTGCTAACAAGGTCTGATCAGCCTACGCACTTTATACTACCTCTAAAGTTATTCCTTTCTGCGTTTGTCCCATATCCTCGGTCATAGGCCTTCCTAGTACAGCGATGTCAATTGACCATTCTCTTCTGTTTCGTAAATACCGGTAATCCGGGTGGGTTGGCCCCACTAACTTCACTTGTCGTATCCAATGCCTGTGTTTATGTGGTATCTTTGCGCACCTTAACTTTACCACCACACCTCTTTGCAATGCCGTCAGTTCTGCGTGATTACCTTTTGCGTAACTTCATGCTTTACAATCAACTTGACTTTCGATTATTGCCGTGAATGGAAAGACCTTCCGTTTATTCTATCATTCTGCAGTTTCTCGGTCTGCGCTCCTTTAACACTAACTGCTTTCTTGGCGATTACGTGTGCCCTCGGTGTTCCTAGCAATTGGTGTTGTTTCTCTCGTTTCACAGTTGTGGTGTGATCGATAACTCATCCTCAGTTTTCTTCCTCCTAATTCCTCTCATATCTGCTCATTTCGTCCCCCTCGCTCTTTTAGTGACGTTCAGAAGAGCACAACCACAGTGATGTAACGGCTCTGGGCGTCCGCATTCAACTGACGGTGGGCCTCCCCCATCACCGAATAGCATGGACTGTGCTCTCCGGCTATTCTGTATCCTCATCCAATCACCTTTCCTTCCCCCGTCAGCTCTCGGTACTCCGTTGGTTATTTTCACTCTATCTCAATCAGGATATACACTGCATCCAGGAAGAGCATGTTTCAACCATGATGTACATAGCGGATGACAATTTGATGGTACTGGACATGGATTTCAGTTGTGGCGTCCGCTTTACACCATTCCTTCGTCTAGTTTTTGGCTCCGCATCCATGCCGATTCATCTTTCTGCTAATCTGCTCGTGTTCATTTGGTGTCATCTTCGCATCCGACAATTCGAGGCCGGTGCCCCTCTTCCCGTGCTGAACACATTCCTTGTGATCGAGTTCTTCAGATGCTCCTTTTGAGTTCTTTTTTTTCTTTAGCGTTCTATTTAGTGCATACCTCTATAGTTCCGTTTAGTTCGGCGTCAAGTCCCAGTAGTCTTTCAAGCGCTCCGATGTTAACCAAGCACGCACATTAACCTGTTGTGTGCGCACACGGTCAATTTTAGTGGTCTCCGCGGGATTGCTCTCTGCAGTATACTTTTTCACTTGCGTTTCCTTATTTTGTTCCATTATGTTTACTTTATATTATTCTGAAATCAATCGGCGGCCCAATTTTTTCTGCAGTCCCAGTGACCCTTATTCCCCACTTTTGATAATTTCCCACAAAGATCTGTATGTGTTTATGCGGACTACACCGATTTCGAATGTTTCTCACTTCTATTAATGACTGGTGTCACGTTGACACCGATCTGCAACTTGTAGCGTGCATTATCTCTTAGTTTCGGATTCTTTACACTCCTTAACTTTGGTCTCTCTATTTGCACACGTTTCGCATTTTTCTACTCCACTTATACCTGGTTGTGACCGCGACTGTTCCCTACTCGGTCAATGGGTCCCTGGGCAGCGCCTAAGAGTCACTCGTTTGCCTGCGCGCATCGGTTTAGTGTCCTGTGTTTCCCTTTTCCACAACTCTACTGACCTCAGAATGTATCTCACTTTATCATGCACAAACATCTTGACGCAACGCGTCGGTCTTTTGCCTGCGAACACTGTGTGTGTGCCCATTTTTCGTCTCATGAGAGTATTCCGGTCACCCACCCCCTTATCCTATCCATTACTCCATGCTGTTTCGTCCCTCTACTTGGCGCCCCTTCGCCTCACTGCCAGTCATTTGCACCAGCTCACCGCACGCACACCCTGCTTAGGTTGTGCACAGGTCTCAATAGCTGTAGAGTCGACGTACGCTGTCTTAGGAGTCAACCGTTGATGCAGTACCTCACCGACGGACATTTCAAGACTGCAGATAGTTGAGAAAACCTGTAGCTCGGGGGGTGGATGAGAGAATTGTTTTGTTCTCCGAGCTGGGTGTTTCATTTGCAAACGTTTCGTTGCTGGGCTAGACAACATCATTAGTGCGGCTTTCGATGGGTGAAGCGCAGAACCTCATGAGCCACTGGCAGATCCGAGTTGCCATTGCTCGTATCCTGCTTTGAATGTCAGCCGTCGATTGACGCACCTGGGTCTTCCAAGTGATCGACTCTTCGCCCTGTCAGTCTGAGACCTATTGTCCACCTAGTCTGCAGCGATTCGTATACACTCTTTAGTTCCAGATGTTTGATGATTGAGTTTTGGTCCGAATGCCAGACCTCGATGAACTCACGCGTCCTGCGGCTCCTTGCTCTTCTAAGTATCTTGACATTTTCCAGAACGCGTTGGTGGTCCTCGGCGTACAAATATATTGACATTAACAACTTCTCATCATGGTGGCAGATGACCTGACTATGCTCGTGTAGTCTTGCGCCGAGTTTCCCTACTGTTTGGCCCACAATACTTGTCCAAGTCATTTGCAGGAAATCTTGCAAATCAGCTCTGATGTTTCTCCTTTATCTAGTCTGTTCTTTATCCTGAAAAGCTTACTTCGACTGGTTTTGATTGCTTCATGTGAAACTTATCCTGTGAGACATTAGAAGCCTCGCTGCCATCTCAGAAAATCCATTGATGTAAGGCAGGATCATCGTTTTCCCTTCCGTTGCATTTGTGGATGCGAGTTGGGGTTATTTTCTCGACATCGGGCAGCGTATGATAAAACTGGAGTGAAAATTCCTCTGAAACATGTTAAATAGGTCGTTCTCCCCGCGTTCCTCATTTGCAGCGTGATACCTTGTGTTTGAGCTAGTTT